AGGCCCCCGAAAAGCGCGCCTTTGCCAGGCCCGGAGCACAATGGCCCAGCATCGCCGCCATCCACAGAGACAGCCGGGAGACCTATCGCCCCCCTCCCCCCCAGCAGCCCGAGCCCACGCCCTGCTGCCATGGGCATCTGCACCGGGTCTTGACCCGCAGCTGGATGGTGGTCCTCGGCAGCAGCTCGTTTTCTCCAGGAAGGGCTGGGCCCTGCAAATAACTCGGAGAAACTTACTGTTGACGGCTCTCTTGCCCTCCAGAGAAACAATGAAAATGACCACGATAGCATCCTAGTAGTAAATATAAACACCAGTAACAATAACAGATCTCTTTCTCCGCAATGGGAGAGGGATCAACTAGCTCCCCTATTTGTTCACGCAATTGATTAAGGACGGAAACCAGTCAGGAAAGCTATTTTCTCCCTCCCCTTCTTCTTCATGACAGCATACACAGCTTGCCTAGACAGATTGATTACGATGGAATTAAATGCCACGAATGGTAATTCCTTCATTCTTTCTTTTGGCAAACTACTACCTTTCATATAGTAACTGTATTATAGTAACTATAGTAACTATATTATAATCCTATGAAACTTTTTCCACACGCAATCTTTGTTGAGGGGCTAGGGGGGAACTTCGGTGCGCGCAACGACGTTCGACCATTTCTCACGTGTCGCTTTTATTGGGGCCAATGCCTGGCGGGAAACCGCGATTGGTTGCGGGTGGGCACGTGATTCATTGTTGCGCCCGTGCCTGATCTTTCTAGCAGAAGAGGGTTTAGGAAAGGCGTGAAGTATCCTCTTAAGTGCTGAAGATCTGCGCGGGATGGGCAACATAAGGGGACACATTTCCCCACGTGAGTCAGAGAGAAGAGTGGGCCAAAACTCCATCAGGAGTGATGGATCCTCACACAAAGGACGAAGAAGTTTGGGGGCAGGTGATTAAAACTTGGGATCAGTTTATTACCGTTACTGAAGTCAACCTGTCACCTGTTCAAGGTCGCCTCCTTTCTGCAAGAGGTTTGGATCTGCGGGTGAGATGCATTTCCAATGCAAAGCTGCCCTCACTTTTTATTCAGAGATACCCAATGCTATCCTAAAACGCTAGAGGAGGCTGGTTACCTTTCACGACCCTAAACTCGCTTTCTGTGCAATGGATACTACTCTGCCTGTCTTTCAACCCTATACTTGTCCACCCAGAAATAAGCCCGAGGTAGTTCAATGAGATACATTCCCAAGTGGGTGTGGAAAGGGCTCAGTCCTAATTGGTTTTGTGCATGTAAAAAGGTAGGTGTGGGTGCTATTCCCCCTCCTGTGAATCGTGGGGGTACGTCAGTGTAATGGAGTAAATAGTATTAGATTTTATCCCCACCCCCAAGCAGGCTTCTTCGCTGACTGGGCAAAATTTTTAAAAACCTCCAGTATTTTATTTATTTGTAATTAAGTCATCAATCAAATATTGCACACCTATGCTTGCTTGGAAGGAAAGGCCAGATGCGTTTGAAAACAGTATATCTGCCTGGGCTAGCCACCCAGAAGACGGTCAGGACGGCATATGAATTAGTTTATTTACATGGATGGTCGCTCCTTCACATTGGTCAAACGGAATGCGCATTCCGTAGCGGGGACATCAGAACCACAGGCTCATCCCACCCTCGTAGATATTTTAAAATAATAATAACAATAAAAATACAAGACTCCCAAATCCATGTATTGCTATTTCCTCGCGCCTGATTGCAGTTTGCGTGAAGCCCCGAGTCGCTTGTTCCGAGTTTCAGAGCGCCAGGCAGGCAACGCGCCCTGGGCTGGTGGAAGCGGGGAGGTGATGGGCTGGGGGAGGGGAACAGCACCAAGAGACCTTGCCTCGTAGACGTCACAAGGCCCCCGTCGGCTCTGCGCCCAGATCAAACGATCAATCCTAGTTCCTCCAGATAATTATTTTAAAATTCACGGCGGAATTGATCTCCTTTTAAAAAGCGCTTTTATTAATTGTTTCCTCTCTCTCTTCCCCCCCTGTCCCCCCTCCCTCGGTGGAGGTGCCAAGGCTGCTGTTGCGGGTATCAGTGGATTAATTAAAAACAGCCGGGGGGGGAGGAGAAGGAGAGGGAGAGAAGGTTGGTTTAGGGTTCTGTTAACGATTTCAGCTGTAAAACCCTATCACACACTTACCTGGGAGTAAATCACGGTAAACGCAAGAGTTCCTTCTGTACATGTATTGGTTGGTTGTTCTTTTAACTGTCTCAGCTATAACTACTATTAGAAATGCGGACTTCCTTCCGAGTAAGCGTGCACGGGTTTGCGCTATTTTGGGAGCCATCCCAAAAGTTGTTTTTATTTATTTATTTATTTTAATGCCGCCACACACGCGAGGTGCAGATGGTGGCTTCCCAATAAATATTTCAGCAACCTGCTTACTCGAAAGTAAGCCTCCCTTCAGGCACACTGTCGAGCGAGTTGTGCATGACAAGGTCGCTTTAAATGCTCCGGGGAATGGAGGGGGGCCCATTAGACATGAAACAAGGATTCAGTATTCCAGATAAGCAGACTTGCAATGGAAATGCGCGGGGGGGGGGAAGAGGAGGAATTGTTCACCCGACGTAGGTCCATTAATCAATTTTCCCGTTAAAGATGCGAAATGCAGCGAGAGAAATTCTTCTTTTATATTCTGCAAGAAGCTTTACATTGCGCGCGCGCGGGGGGGGAGATCTGTTTAATCAAGATTTAATCGGATACCTCGCCGGATTCTTTATCCGCTGCCGCCCGCCCGTGAAAGCTTAAATCCTTTGAGATTTGGGAGATGATCGTTTATTCCCTAGCCTCCCCCATCCTAACCCTAACCTCGACACACACACAGACCCAGGAAAGTACCAAGAGATTCTCCTCCCCACGTTTGTGAAGACGCGCAAATGAGCTTCGGTGCACGTAGAAGGGCTTCTAGGAGGAGTGGGGAAAGAAGCTGCGCCCCGACAGCTGAATTGCGACTTTTACTTCCTAGCACAAAACCTCATGGATGTCAATGATTCGAAAGGAAGAAAAGCTGAAGGTGAATGGGCTGGCGTGGAAGCCAATTCCATCGATTTTGAGGAAGCTGGCTCGCTTCCGAGTCAAGGATCCTCAGGACCGTGTTCCCTTTTGGGAAACCCTTCACTGAGGAGGTCAGGAAGGGGTTCACCTGAGTTGTTTCTCAGCGAAGAAGCATGGGATCCACGCAGATGGAGGAAGCCCCGTGTTAGCCTTACTAAAGAAAGGAGCCCCGCTAAGGAGGCAAGTGGGAGAACGAACGACACGGGTGCGTTCAGTCTGGCAGCACGTGTCAGTTTTTTTAAAAAATATATATATATTTCTTAGTCCAAAATTATAAATTATATATATTACAATTAATATATAAAGTACTGTACATTAATTCGGAAACTTTCCTTTCCGGAGCTGTTTATCGAAAATGACCGTTCCTCCTTGTTGATCGTCTCCACTATAAAAGAATCCTTCCAGGTCGATTAGGATAAATCGATCCGATCCGTACAAAGACCGAGGAGCCCCAGATGCATCTGGGGGTTCTCTCGTATCTGATTCAGGCGTTGGCAAGAACTGCGCCAAGGCGTCTGAGGCCCTTTGAAGACGGCCACCGGATGCTCACGCCTGTGAATTCAACGGATTCACTTCTGTGGAAGTGTACAGGATTGCAATGTTTTTTTAAAAAACAAACAAATCAACCATGACACGGTAAGCTTTCCTGGGGCTTCGGTCCATTCCTCAGAGGCATCTCGTCTGGCGACACATTGGCCCACCACAGCTGCTGTTACGATAAACGGGCTCCTTGTCGCCTTTTTTTTTTGAGGGGGGTGCAGAATACCGTAAGAGTCTCTGCAATTTGTCATTATTACAAAGTAACATATTTCTCTCTCTCTCTCTCTCTCTCTCAGCCCTTTCCACGAGCGAAACAAACATCGAGCTTTAGAGGTTTCTCTCTTCCCACCCAGGATTAGGAAAAAATATCTTCCGATCGTCTCTATTATAACAGAGTTTCAGTCCTATACTGTATATACCTACCCCGGACTAAGTTGTTTTTTTAACTCGATGGGGTTTACGGAGTAAATTTCTATAAGATTGGAGCCTAAAGCACTAAGGGCTCCAAAAACCACATTGTGAGGAATTTGAAAAGAAAGGAGAGATTTTCTTTTCTTTTCCTTTAGCGAAGATTAAAATGAAACGAAACGAAACAAGAACCACAATGAAATGGAATGACCGACAACGTCGAAGAAAGAATCGTCTCCACTGTGTGCCCGGATTTACCTTTTTATTGAACAATCGGATTCTCTCTTTCATTTCCTCCCCCTTCACGGCTGAGAGTTACTGGACGAGCTTTTTCCTCCCGGGGTGTCTGTCCAGAGGCACAAGATCTCCCGACAGCGAAACGAAACAAGAACCACAATGAAATGGAATGACCGACAACGTCGAAGAAAGAATCGTCTCCACTGTGTGCCCGGATTTACCTTTTTATTGAACAATCGGATTCTCTCTTTCATTTCCTCCCCCTTCACGGCTGAGAGTTACTGGACGAGCTTTTTCCTCCCGGGGTGTCTGTCCAGAGGCACAAGATCTCCCGACAGCCAAGCCAAACTATGGAAGAGGCCGTAATTGCTGGAGACAGCGAGAGCTGGGGGGCTGGGCTGAGGTAGCCGTGTATAAATAGTGGGATCTCCAATTGAAAGGCATAAATAACAGCAGGAGTGATCTAGCCCCGATCCAGCGCCCTGGTATCTTCGGCGAGGGTCTCGAAGTGGTCAGGAGGATGAGATGTCCATCAGGATGGCAAGGATGATTTAAAACACGCGCGCGCGCTTGCGCGCGCGTCCCCACACTCCCATTCACACACACACACACAGAGACACACACAGACACACTCGCCTCAGCGAGACAAACCCAACCGCCTCGCGGCAGCCGGGACAAAACGGCCGGATCCCCTCCGTGAGAGATCCACCCGGTGATCAAGCGCCACGACCCCCCGCCAGAAAGACCTCGCGCAGTGGATACAGAGAGAGGGAGAGCGAGAGTCTGTGCCTTGTCGTTTCGGGTCGGGGTGTTCCTCCCCGGCCCCACCACCGCGCCTCTCCAGCCGGGTCGCCATGGAAGAATTGACGGCGTTTGTCTCCAAATCCTTCGACCAGAAGAGCAAGGAGAGCAGCAACAGCAACGGCGGCGGCGGCGGCGGCGGAGGCGGAGGAGGTGGCGGCGGTGGCGGCGGCGGCGGCCACAAGAAGGAGACCATCACGTACCGGGAAGTTTTGGAGAGCGGGTTGGCGCGCTCCCGGGAGCTGGGCAACTCGGACGCCGGCAGCCTGCAGGAGCTGGCCGAGAGCGGCGCCCACTGCCCGGTCCACCTCTTCAAGGACCATCCCGAGGGCGACAAGGACAAGCTCAAGGACTTCAACCACGCCAGCAGGACCTCGGAAGGTAAGTCGCCGCTGCCGCCGAACCTTGGGGATTGGGGAGCGGGGCGGGGGGGGGAGAGAGAAGAGAGAGAAGGGGTGCTTCTCCACGGACGCACCGGAGAGGCTTTGAGGGAGGCGATCTCTTTTTCTTTCTTTCGAGTAGCACTATCTCCCTCCACCACCCCCCTCCACTGCGTCCGAATCCGGACTTTCACAGAAGACGAACAGCGGCGGCACTGGTGGTCGTTGCCAAAACATCAGCAAGGGCCACCGGCCCCTGGGTTGTGGTTTAAAAAGAAAACACAGCGGGGTGCCCAAAACTTCCGCCTCTTTCCCCACCCGGTGCCTCAGGCGCTTTGAACAATAGGAAGCCAGAGAGTCGGGGTTGAAAGAAATGACCCGATCCGATCGAATTCCGCGAGCGTTGCCCGTAAGAGGACACAAGGAATCCCGAACCGAGCCTCCGCGTTAGTAGCTTCAGTTTTTAATGAAAACCGGGGAAATAGTGTTAGGAAAGTCGAGTTGGGGGAATTGGTCAGAGAGGCCTGCGCAGGAGGAAGAAATCCGAAGGAAAACCCGCGCCGACGATTTTGCAAAGGATTCCCCCTTCCCCCCCCGCCCGCTTTTGTTTTCCCCCAGATTTGGTTCTTCCCTGATTTTAGTCTCCGTTACGTGGGGTCCCCCCACTCTGATCTACGTAACAGCTACTGTACTCTGTTCTCGTTTTCAATCACCTACGAAAGAAGACCTTTAAAAGGTGGCCCCAAAAGAAGCGAAGGAAGGGGGCGTGAAGAAGTGGAAATAATTTAGAAAGTTCAGAAAGTGCCTTTCAACTCTCTATGAAGTGGGTTGTGAGCCTCTCGGGCTAATCGCCAAAGCGCATGGAATTGAATGTATCGATCTCGTAAGTCTGAGAACTACTTAAAGGCCAGGAGGATAGTGACTCGGTACGGGACGCTTTAAAAGCGGGTTTAGCTGTTTTTAAACCGCAGTCCCGGGCAATACCCGTTTCTCGAAATCGTCTTTCTACCTTTTGCTTTCTTTTGATTTAATCCCTGGAATGGTTCGCGTCCAGGTCCTGGGGCCAATCTTCCGACTTTCATTCCTTTCACAACAAAACCGTATTCATTCATTTCCAGAAAGGCCCTTTCCTTCGAATCTGCATACCGCATAGTGACGAGTTTCTCGTTCATTTAATCTGTTTTTTGTTTGTTTGTTTGTTTCGTTATATTCGTTATAACCTAGAGCCAGGACAGAAGGAGCGACAGTTTGCATTCCGGAGAGATGATTTAAAGATTCTAATTCCATCAATTTTACCGGAGACCAACTAACCAGCCCTTTTCAGTTTAGGGCCTTTCTGAAAATAACTGCATGCTACTTCATATTTTTTAAATTTTTAAAATTTCGGACGGAGGAATTGCTAACAGCTCTTCATACTTGTATAATCTCGATTCCAGTTGTCTTTTATTGTATTAGACACTATGCAGCTTTGAGAGCTTCACTTGTGTGCTTTTACCTGCCCTTGAACATTTTGTTGAAGCTCCGCTTGTAAACTGTACTGTCATACTACCTAGGCACACACGCATTTCCCAAGTCACCCCTGATTTTTGGTAAAATACTGTATTCAGAACAGTATCATCTTCAACAGCAGACCTTGGTGGAAGTCCATTTAGTCTCTGCGGTACCGTAAACAATATAGGCAAAGCACAACAAAACATAAGATATTTGTCGAAATAAAGGCAACTATTTGAAGGTTCGTGGTAGGCAGGAGATGACGGGATCACAGGCTGGAAGGTCTGTGCTTTTGAGATCAGTGTCAGTGATTTAAGAGGGAGTGTGTTGAAAGATCCCGGTTTTAATGACAACAGTCTGTCAAATTCTCATACCTTCATCAGGTCGTCTCTATAGCTCCCGCCTTCAACAATATTCAGCATGCAAACTTCCTATTGTTTTTTTTTCCTATTTCAATATTTCTTAGTAGCATTTGTAAAAGCTACCCCACAGTTATAAAATTCCTCTTAATTAATTTTGTGGCATAGATGTTCGCCTTTACGATCAGTATAAAGGTATTCCATGGACTGGCATTTAAAGTACGGTACGTTTGTTTCCCAAGGTAGCTCGCCGGTAAGCCTGTGTTTGGGATTAATTTCAGCCAGGCCCCTAACCTGCTTGTTTGGCAGTCAATCCTTTTTACGGGACACGCAAAATAGCTATGCTCGTCCCAATCCCAATCCTATTAGAAGTCAGTGGATCCTGAAAGTGATGTGATTTACCACCAGTTCTGAGACTGGCCTGCATCTTTACAATCCGCCGCACATCTTTGACTGGCAAAGAAGCAATGAAGTCACATTCTTAGGAGAGGAGTCACACTGAACCCAACGGGAATGGCTTCCCAGAAAATACATTTTGGGTCGGGAGGGCTGGAAGAGTGTGTTCCAGTGGAGGTTAAACGCTTTCATGTGGCCCGAAGTTGTGAGTCTGTCTGTCTGCCTGCCTGCTTGAAGAAAATATGGATCTCCCCACCCACCCATCCGTGTCCACTTTCGGTTGGCCTCAGAGCAGAGGACCTGGAATGAGATGCACCATTTAGAGCCACCTTTTCCGTTCCCACGACCAGAGAGAGACACCACCACAGCACCTTCTTTGCATTTTGCACGGTGACATTTCCCCAAGATGGGACTTGCCGGCAGAGGCGAGAGCGTCGGCGGGGTGGGTGGGGTGGGAGCAGGAAGGAGATGGGGGCCCCCACTCCTGTCCGGCTACCCTGAGTTCCGAAGTGCTCCCTCCTGCCCAAACGCGGTGGCTTCCCCCACCCCCTTTCCTCTCTACCATCCTGGAGCTTCCTTGGGAAAAAGAACATGTTTTGTTTTCTCCTTCTATGTTTTTGCTGTCAACTCGATGGGCTAATTGTATTTTCTGACCTTGCTAAAATAGCAACGGGTCAGGAAGGAAGGAAGGAAGGAAGGAAGAGCAACGGGTCAGGAAGGAAGGAAAGAAGGAAAGAAGAAAGGAAGGAAAAAAGGGAAGGAAGGAAGGTTCCGATTAGCTTGGTTGGGCGAAAGGTCGCCCCCAGTCATTCCGCAGGAGTTCCTGCAGGTTCGTGACTCCGTCTCCGTTCTCCGTCTGGGCCTCTTTGGCCTTTGTGTCTCTGCTAAGTCCCACCTTAGCACATATTGGAAGGGCTGATGCTCCCGCCACGTTACTGATACCCCTGTGCAGATCCTGGGTGCATCATTCGGGTTGTATAAATGAGAAGGAAACCCTCACTCTCCTTATATTTTTATTGCTTAGATCCGGAGAGGTCTCTTATAAATTTAAAGAGAAATTCCCTCCCTATCTCTGGGTTGCGTGTGGAGCCCCCCGAGCTGCTGCAAGTATCCTCCTCTTCATACACCCCCCTTCCCCCGCTACCGCCGCGACCAAAAGCGACAGCTAACTAGAAACGGAGGACATGCTCTCAGGGTGTCACTTCATCCTCTAACTGGCCTTCCCCGAACTCTTTGCTCCTCTTAGCTGCAGCGGCACATCTGGATCTGTTAACGCTGCTCTGGAGGCCTGTTAGTTAAGAAGTTCAGAGCACGCTTCATAGCCAAGGGAGCAGACTTCCAGTCAGATCTGGGACGGGGGGGGGGAGGGGAATTCAGAAAGAAGAGGGCAAAATGTATATGCCTCTCTCTCTCTCTCTCTCTCTCTCTCTCTCTGTGTGTGTGTGTGTGTGTGTTTCAATAGTGTGTTTCCTATTGTAAGGAGCAGTTGGCACTAGAGACGAACGATTCCTATTTCACAGACAGATCTCTCTGGAAGTTATCCCAAAACAATAATCTGCACATGGCACGAACTGGAAATTGAGACAGGGTTGAATATCACCCACGGCCCTATTTCCGATAGAGGAAGCCTTCTGCCTACTTTGAAAACATGCTAACAAACTCTGATCCAATCCCTGACCAAGCATCACTTGCGATATTTTAAACGCTTCCCTTCCCTTTTCTTTTTTTGGCATTATCATCTGGCTGTGGAAACTTAAGTGTGTCCCCTGCTCTCCCTGTGGAAGAAATGAAGGACCCTTCCGCTGTCTAACTTTGTGGCCTTCGTTCTCCCTTCTCTCCTCGGCAGGGATCTATGAGTGCAAAGACAAGCGAGAAGAGGTGAAATCCGAAGACGAGGATGGCCAGACCAAACTGAAGCAAAGGCGAAGCCGAACCAATTTCACACTGGAGCAACTGAACGAGCTGGAGAGACTTTTCGACGAGACGCACTACCCAGATGCCTTCATGAGGGAGGAGCTGAGCCAAAGGCTGGGGCTGTCGGAAGCCAGGGTCCAGGTAAGATCAGAAGGCCAGAATCCCGCCTGCCGGACTTCATCCCGAATCTCCTGTGCACTGGCCTGTTCTACCCCCACCCCCCTTTAGTGGATCGCAGCATTAAGACACGTGTGATGGTGGCGGGGAGCAGCGGATTCCAGTCCCTGACGCCACTCTCCTTTCTTCTCTGCCGCTTAGAATCTTCAGTTGCCTTGGAACGTTCGGAGTCCCTTTGATCCCGTTCGCTAACCAATGAGGTGTTTGATTACTAGCCTCAAGCTAGCAGTTTCACCCTTACGCTTTCCTTTCTCTCTCTCTCTCTCTCAGTCTCTCGGTTTTTTCCCCCTCTCATGGCTCTTTAAGGAAAAAAAAAAGTGCGAGAGAAAGGGAAGTCAGGCAACTTCGAGGCACAATTGGTATGGATAAAGCTAGGCTGGCTGGGTGCTTTGGGACTGGATTAGCCAGAGCCGAGGGGAAACGCGCCTCCGTTTGACTTGCATAAGAAGGGTATGAATGCATAGGGCCCCATCTGCTCTATTCCTCCTCCGCTCCCCCGACCTCCATTAAAAATATAATGTCCCTAAATCCTCGAGAATATGCGTTTGGAGGAGCGTTTGCTGACAGGTCAGCCGGGGCCCGTCTGTAGTTCCCGACAAGGTGGTTCATTAAAAAAAGAAAAGAAACATTTTTTTAAAAAAGTTTGTTCTTGTGCGTGAGTGAGCGGCTGAAAACAACAACAACAAAAAAATAAAATCCGAAAAGGATAGGCTCCAGCGATTGGTAGTGGCATCGATCCTTGCAAACAGATGCTTTGTAAAAAAGCGGAATTAATCCAATCAACCTGTGGAGCTCCGGAGCGTGGCTCATGAGGTCAAAGACACGTGAAGAAGATCAGGCGTTTGTCTGAGTTCTTATTCTAGCTGAGCTCCCGCGTGAACAAAAACCGCTTTTTATGAAATGCCCTTTGATTTGAGGTGGAGAATCCACAATGGTCCGGGGTCCCAGCCCCATTCCCGCTGTTTTTCGTTGGAACGTCCTGCTGATTTCAATGGGATTTACTTCCACGTCAAGCAGCGAGCGCGCCTGTGCGTGCTAGCGACAAGGCCTGGATGTCGAGAACACTTGTATGTAGCTCTTCCCCTCAGTGCATATCTGTCATGTGACTTTTGAAGAGCCTTCGGGGTTCAATACCTTGGGAACGTACCCACCCAGAGCAGTTTTCATTAAAAACAGGAACAGCTAATTCCAAGGAGCGAAGGAGCCCTTGTTGATTTGCTACTCCTGGAGAGGAGCGAAGGAGTATTACAAAAGTAAGAGAGGTCCCCGCTTGCCAAAAATTGATCTAACTGCCCAGGATAAATAGAGACAAAGAAGGGGACATCAACTGTTACATCACCTTTCCAGCTCCTCCAAGGCAAGCTATTATAAAATTGTAAAGTTACTTCCAATGTTTCTGTAAAAATCAATCACTTGCAATCGAATCCTACACAGGCTCCTTCAAATAATTTATTACCACAACTTTACAGGATATTCATATTTACAGAAAAATTACTATTTCAGGTGTTTGCAGGTTTTTAAGTATTCCACCCGCCTTCCCCCCACCAAAAAAACTTTCTGCCTTCTGATATGATGTCAGTGGCAATTTTAACTTAGAAAAGACAACTTAGATTCCTGCTCTTCCTCCCCTACCCCACTCCCAGGGTATTAAAGAGAGTGGATATTGGAGATAGTCGTTTTAGAGGGAATCGGTAATTAAAACATAAACAGGATTTGATCAGCTAATAGGACTCGATCAGCTTTTTATTTCTGATTTTAAACAAGAGACAGAACGAGGGAAGAAGAAAAGAGAGGCGTGTGTGTGTGTGAACCCCAAAGATATTGTAATACTCTCAGAATTGCCTCTTAATCCCAGGCAGTAGCGCCTGTCCCTTGTTGTTAAAGGATCTAGTTTCAATTTAGCGTGGAAATGTGCTGTAAATAAATTGGCGCTCCTACGGTAGCTACTCCTTATTAACCTTTTATTTTTAGTGTTGTACCGGCAACTCATATAGCCCAGCTGTCAGGGTTATAATTGAAAGTTATGAGACCATAGTGAGGAGCAGGCAGTAATTCAATTACGAGCAAATATCTTTGGGTTTTATGGCGCAGGGCTAAATTAAATGTCATTATTCACTGTCTCTAATGGAAATCAAAAGGAAATCAGATTAGAGCATTTGTGAAAGAAATCACTGAGTGATCCTTAATGAAGAAATAACTGTCTAAAACACTGTCCTGCGCTTTACTTAGCATATTCATGACTAGTTGGAATTGATCGGGAATCACACCCGGCCTGATTTATGACGGCTCGGCTCGCGAGCTAATTCATCACTTCGATTCCTCCCCATTTTCTGCCTCTGTCCTCTCCCGGCGCTTCAGGGCGAGGGAAGGGGGCAAGCGCCTGCTTCTTTCGCCGGCTTATGAGCTTCAAAGGCGCCTCTTGATGAACAGGGATTCCCGCAGCCTCTGAACTCGCGTGAGTCACCCCGGGCCAGGGGGTTCGACGGGGGCAAGGGGACTGTTCTGCCCCGGAACCCACCACGCACCCTCACCCGAGGTGGCCTGGATCCTCTCTCTTCCTTCAGCAGGAGGGTTACAGGCGATCGAGGGAAGGATGGCGTTCTCTCCCAAGCAGTGTAGGTAGGGTCTCTCAGTATACCCACGGGATTGATCACCGAAGCAGGTCGTGGGGGTGATTATTCCAGAGTTATGCATATTGAAGACTGGGTTGTGCCTTGGACGTCTAGAGCCAGAGCACGTCCTTATTTTCGTTCAGGGATTGGCTGCCCCTCTCACTCCTCGAAAGGGGTAGCTCTGTTTGTCTGCAATACGTGGCAGCGAAAACAGTGGGCTGTTTTTCTCTAAGCCTTCAAGGCTAACACGTTTTTATCTGGCTTGAGGTTCGGTAGAGCCCTGCTCACCTCTTCAGATGCAACCACGTCTGAATCCTTTAAAAACAGGGCAGCTACGATTTGTAGTCCCTCAAGACAGGGAAGGCCTGCCCGTTTTCAAGTTTCACGCCCTTGCTTAATTAATCGCTGTAATAACCAATTCGAGGTCGTAAATGCTTTAACCTGTGATAAATTCGTGTTAATTAATCTGGATTAAAGTAACTGTTTAGGCTGCAATCCTATACCAAGTCACCCGGGAGTAAGCACCAGCTACACTCAATCGGATTTACTCCAGAGAATCATTAAGGGCTTTGCCCTTACCAGGGACCACGGCGATGATGAGCACGATATGCTTATTGTTATTGTTATTAAAATTAATTAATAATTAAGATCCCATTGGCAGGGAGCACATCACCTAAAGGTCCCCTTTCTATTTATGAGTTAAGAGGAGCTGCATTTAAAAGTGAGCCGTCCATTTTCCGATCAGGCAAACAAAATCCACTTAGAGCTGAAGTCTTTGGCCTGAAACTGATTAAAGCTGTAACTCTCAGCACACCTGCGTGGAAGTCAGTTTCAGGGAAATCAATGGCATCTGATCCCGAGGGAGCCGGGAGGGCGAGAGGCGAGAAGAATAACTCAGGGTCAAAGCTTTGTCCTGCTGGAAGTCGCCAGGATTCGTGCGGGCTGAGGAGAATAGGCGAAGAAGCCTTCGGGGGGACTTGCAGTTTATGAAATCGATGGGTGGGTGTATGTGTGTGTTTAGAAACGGTGACATGGAACTAGTCAAGTTATTGACAAAGGGAACGAAAAGTACCGCCCAAGAAGTTCAGGAAGCAGCGTGCTCCTAAATTGGCACACCCTCCCCTCCTCCCCCAATGCATAGAGTATTAATTCAAGGCATCGCCCACCGAGGGTAGACACAACAGAGCGGGGAGAGGGGCCGGCCCACGTGCTCCGACGTGAAGACGGCTAATTCCTGTTTAAGAAACCCACTCAAGCACCCCTGGATAATTAATGTCTTTGGAAGCCTTTCTTTGCACTAATTACTCTGTTGTAAATGGCCATCATTAAGGCAGTTGAAGAAACCTTGAAGGCGAAATGTGATGTAGGAAGTGCAGTTAGTATTAATTAACCGTATGATCAACTTGGCAAGTGGAAGAAGTTGGAGGGGGCGGGGCGAGCCGAGGAGATGTTTACTTAAGCCCCCCGATTTGATCTGTCTCAGCAGACGGGGGTAGATTGACGGAGATTTCATCCGCCGGCGGAGTGAGTTGCGCCGAACATTTAAGGAGAGACATAATCCTTTAAACGTATTTGGGACATTTTTCTTCTTCTCTCCCTCTCAGGAGACAAACAGCCATACTGTTTGGCGAGCCGTAGAGATATGGGGGCACCCTCCAATGTATAATAAATGTGAATTTCCGGCATTAGGGGGAGGATTACTGATCGCAGTTTAAACAAGTAAAAATAAATCCTGATGGCTGGATTAGAAATAATTCCTCAAATCCAAATTTGGAAAGATTGTGACTGCCGTCTGGTAGCAAAGCCTACTTTAAATGTCAGCAGGAAAGCTGAACAGGAAAATAAAGTGCGTGTTTTAGCATCTATAACCCCTGGTGACGCCAGGCAGAGTGGATTTATGTTCGAATTCACAACTTATAAATTCATAACTCGTGGAGCACTTGTGAAAAGAGCACACTGAAAATTACTCGGATTAGCCCCTGGTTCCCCGCTCCTTCACGTTGATGTGGACTTTGAATTTACTGCGAGGTGGCATTTACGGACCTTGTAAGTTAAATTGACCTTCAAGGAAGCGTTCGAGATCATGGGCCATGTAGGGTGATCCTATGCATTCGGGAGTCAGCACCGTTCAGCCCCATGCAACGTACTTCCTGCCAGCTGCTGAAGGAATCTCAAGTCTCAAAAACTTTGTTAGTAGCAATACTTGTGCCTGTCCTCCGCCCCCATAACTTATTAATAGGGTTATCTTTGCACTTGAGCAAACGGAGAACTCATTGGCTTAAGCGTTCGGTTTTTTTCTGTGCACGGTTATTTGGAGAACTGGTTTGACAGATAAGGCAGGATTCAGCCACCTAAGAATAATGACCTTAAGGATCGGGTCACTGACTTCTGGATAAATATGTGTTGGGATCGACTGGGTTGTAGACCAACTCTGGGGCATTTGAGTGGGCAATTAAAAAAAAAAACCCTCTGCTCGGAATCCTGCAGTCAAGCGTGGACTGGAAAATACTCTGTGCACAATGAAGTCCACGAATAAAAGTGAAGCACAGGAAACTCGCTGTTTACTGCAGCAAATTCCGTGCAACTATAAAGAGAACTTCCACTGTTCTGCAGGACTCCTGACACCGGTGAATGGAGACATTAATTGATCTATTTTTAGACAGGTTCAAAGAGGAACTCGAGGAACGACCTCAAAGGTTAGATCGGCTGCTCGGGCCAACGAGCACCCGGGCCCGGGCCAAAGGCTGGAGATGACAGAGGTCATGAGAGCCAATGGCAGGCCTCGATTCCCAGAGGGGGTCCCAGCCCATGGGTACGCCTTGTGAAGATTTCGGAGCTGATGCCAAGAGTCCCACATGCCGGTCCTACTGGATTTTGGCATGCACCATTATTTGTGCATACCACTGGTGCGTGCGTGCATTTGGTTAAAATTAAGGAGGTTGGTCATGGAACTACAGCTGATGACCACATGGACCTTCCTAGCGGTCTGTTGCTAAGTTCTTGACAATTATTTCCGGTTCTTTTTGACAAGGAATCCAGGGCTTACGCTCAGCCCCAGACTGGGCAAATGGTAGTGCAATCGAACCAGAGGCCCGGCGGGTCAAAGCCGGGCCAGTTTGATGAGCAGGGGCTCTGACGTCACCACTCTTTCTTAAATCGCCGTTCCCTCTGGGGATGAAGGGTGGGTGAGACAGGGATTTCCCCTCCTCCCAGCAACCATATACTATTATTTTGCGTTATCTTGTAATGCACAGGATTTAGGGTGGTTTGATTCTGAATGGGCCCTTTGTGGTTAGTACGTAGGTTCATGGGAACTCTTAAGATAAGAGTCTACATTTCGAAATGTGTCCTGCACCATTGTAAGCAAACCATTAGGATTCTGCAGGACTCCTGACACAGATGAATGCAACCGGGAGATATTAATTGATCTATTAAGTAGCCCTAGAATTCCCATGAGATCCCACATATTTAGCAACTCCTTTCTTAATATCACTTCTAGGACAGAGGAGGGCAAACCTACGTGTACATATGTTCATTAAAACCCCATGAGTTGTATACTGAGACGACCTAAGCGCATAAATATAAAACTACAATTTTATTAGTATAGATCAGATGTTTTAACAGTCTAATTCCCCCTAACTCATGGCCTGGGGTCTTTGTTTCACTGCTAGTCATGAGGGGGCAGTTAGGAACGGAAGTAATGGATCACCCTCCTTTATAATATACGCAATTTTATTTTGAGCAGCCATCGGGTATTCTTGATTAGATCACAGGTTTGGCAGAGAGAGACTGGTTTTCTAAGACGTTTTCCTGCACTCCTCTAGACATGCATTGGGAATACGTTCCTTGAATTCAGTGAATGACACTTTTGAGCCACCTTGTGCCTAACAAAAGCCATAAACTGCTTATCCGTTTAAAAAGAGTTTTTGTGTGACCTACATTGTTCAGATTATTTTCTAAAAATAAACCGTAAGAAGAGCTATTAAAATACGTCGCCTGTTTGCATTCACATCTTGAGCATGCTCAGGAGAAGTCCCCCCTGAATCTTGCTGGCCGTTCTCTTGCAAGGCAGACTGGCCATCGCTGCTGGTGGAAGCCATATCCTACACGCACAAGGTACAAGCTTAGTCTACGCAGCTATGGCAAACGTTTCAACCTACCGATGCGGACTCATACGAAGGCTTCGTGTACAACACTGCTAAAATTAAACAACACGATTAAATGAGAAGAGGGGTAGAAGGGGCATATTAGTTACTTGTCTGTGTGCAGCATTACGCATTTATATTCTTCTGTGGCCTTCTAAGCCTTACCAGTGTGTTGCTTTCTATGTCTCAGAAGCGTGATTGGCGCTTCCTCTTCCTCTTAACTGTGCTGACATGAAAGTTAAGCGTTATTAAGAATGGGACTTCGGAATATTCTTTGGGGAAAGTGGGATGCGGTAGCGCCTTTAAAAGAAAAATGCACTTTTTCCTATTTGGGTTCCCAGTCCAGAGATAGAAGTCACCAACCATGGCTGTTTCTGTCAAACGCCCAGGAAACCTGTGTGACCCTCAGTAAACCGTGTTTAGGTCCAAGATGTGAAATCCCCATTTTACAGAAGGGAACTATTGAGGATCTTTTCTTAAGCCACGCTGTTGTTTTTTTCCTGAGAGCTGAAGTGGGAATGATTTCCCACCCTGCCGCTGCCAGATTTCTGTCCCCCCTCTGGATTCATACGGGCTGGAAGCTTAGTGAACAGCGGATAGAACTGGATTCCATTTACTCTATGGAATGAAGCCCCTGCATAGCTCAGTGGCTTAGGTATAGGAGCTCAATTCCCCACTGTGCCTCCTATGAGTAAGCCAGCCTGTATCGCTTTGGGCAAGCTGCAGTCCCAGGGCCCCCCAGAAGAAGGGAAAGATAAATCCCTTCTGAGAGCTCTGTACCTGGGAAATCCTGAAAAGAGTCACCATAAGCCAGAACTGACTTGAGGGCACATGATAATTATTTATTAGCTGTATTGCGAAATGGCTGATTCTGTTCATCAGGTTTACATGCTTTGGCCTGCCATCTGCAATTGTTTGGTCCCACAATCACTTCCTCCTCAGGGTCCTGTATCACTGATTTTCCTATGAACAACAGTTTTTTTAAAAAGCTTTCCTTACCAACGAGTACATCTACACGACAAGGTTAGAGCCGATTGATACCGCTTTAACTGACATGGCGCCATACGACCGGATCCTGAGATACGTAGTTTGGTTTCAGAAAAGTCAAAATACTTCCCCAGACTAAAAATCCTAAGATTCATTAGTACAGAACCAGCATAAAGTACAGTAGTATGAAACTGCTAGAGCTGTGCCCTGAAGACTCATTAGACCTAAAGACATACAGTATAGGCAGGAAACTCACCTTTGTTAAGAAACATAGGGTCATACGTAGCCCCTTTCCCTCATGCTAGCGGAATCAGAGCTATGTCATTCCGGCAGGACAAAGGGCAGATCTCGATTTTTTTTTTCCCATGCCTTACGCACCATAACCTCTGACTATGTGACCGGTATAGCGCAGCGTGTATAACACGTTTGTGCAGCATGGATACGAAGGCAGTCCCCTCGTCGGGTTGATGAAGTTCCTCAGAAGTCACAAGTCTATGGCATCTCGATCTGTCCTAATGAAGTATTGGAGGCTGCAGATATTTGACCCCCCACCCCCACCCCCCCACACCCCAGATCACCATAGTACTCGCGCGCTCTCTGCCACCGTCTTTGCTCCATAGCCCTCGATCAATAGACACGCCGGGCTTTCGCGGAGTTCACCGATTTCACCAGCTTCAGAAGATGCCCCGTCTTGGGCGAGCCCCGTGATGACAGGTTTACGCGTGACTCCGACCCAAGTCAGAGGTAACCCACGTTAGAAGGTTTCCCGGCAGCCCTATATATACATTTAGGCGCGCGTGGGATGTGTGACTCTTTGTTATAGTTGAATGGCTACCACCGCAATTGTTCCTGTCATAACTGCGAGCATTCTTTTCACCAACCGCCTTCCCTTCTTCTCTGGGCAGGTTTGGTTCCAGAACAGAAGAGCCAAGTGCCGAAAACAAGAGAATCAGATGCATAAAGGTGAGTAATTCAGCCGGGGGTGGGGGTGGGGGGGAGGCGAGAGGCTGTCACTCGGGTGGGCCTTGCGGCGCTCTTTCCTCACCCGCCCCCCCTCTCTTTCCCTGTTGCAGGTGTGATCCTGGGGACGGCCAGCCATTTAGATGCCTGCCGAGTGGCCCCCTACGTGAACATGGGCGCCCTGAGGATGCCTTTTCAGCAGGTGGTTCGTTTTACTTCCTTATGATCATCCCCCCCCCCCCC